ACCGGCTATTTGATACCCCAACTCGGATTTCTCGAAGGCGTCTCTAACTCGACACATCCAAAAGAGAAGCCGTGGTTTGGCCCTCCCAAAGCCTCTTTCCTGATCCCAGTCTTCTCTCTCCTGTAAACAATACTCATCAGCGCCCATCAGAGATGTGCGTGTCCAATTTCAAACAGTTCTTCTCTTCCTGGTTCCTTTTCCTTCCCTGTCCTGTGACATCCAGTTCACCGCCACTGCAGGCTCTGCCTCCAAAATCCCACGCCCTTCTTCCTCTTCTTTTTCTTTTTTTTTAAAGACAGGGTTTCACCATGACGGCCAGGCTGGTTTTGAACTCCTGAGTTCAGGTGATCCACCCACCTCAGCCTCCCAAAGTGCTAGGATTACAAACGTGAGCCACTGCGCCTGGCATATCTCTTTCTCCACCCCACTAACTCCACTGTGGTCCAGGCCTCTAGCAGCCTCAACCAGAGGAAGGCAACAGCCGGCTACCCCCTCCTTCCACTTCGACTCCTGAGGTCTACGTATGCTCAGCACAACGATGTGATTCTGCTGTTCTTGTTTAAATAAAAACGTGAAGCTGGGCGCAGTGGCTCACGCCTGCAATCCCAGCACTTTGGGAGGTCGAGGCAGATGGATCATTTGAAGCCAGGAATTCGAGATCGGCCTGGCCAACATGGTGAAATCCCGTGTCTATCAAAAATACAAAAACATTAGCCGAGTATGGTGGCACATGCCTGTAATCCCAGCTACTCAGGAGGCTGAGGCAGGAGAATCACCTGAACTCGGGAGGTGGAGGTTGGCAGTGAGCCGAGATCGGCCACTGGACTCCAGCCTGAGACACAGCAAGACTCTTTCTCAAAATAAATATAAATTAAAAAATAAAAATATGATCATGACATGCCTGTGCTCAAAACCCACTGAGGGCTTCCCATCAGATCTAGAATAAAATTCAGATTTCTTCCTGGGGTCCACGGCCCTAACTGATCAGCCTCTACCCTGTGCTTCTGACCCATGCTCAATCCACTCACCGCACCGGCCCCCTGGAAGACCTGCTGCTCCTCAGGGCTTTGGGGCTGCCTCTGGGGGGCAAATGCCTGGCCCCAGACTTTCTCACCTCTTCCTTCTCACAATCCATGTCTCTGCCACAAGGTCTTCTCGAAGCACCTCATCTAAAGTCGCCCTTGCTCTGTCATTCTGTTACTATGCACTGCTCTTAATTTTGGGGGTTTGAGACGGAGTCTCACTGTTGCCCAGGCTGGAGTGCAGTGGTGCGATCTCAGCTCACTGCAACCTCTGCCTCCCGAGTTTAAGTGATTTTCCATCCTCAGCCTCCCAAGTAGCTGGGACTACAGGCGCACCACCACACCCGGCTAATTTTTTATATTTTGGTAGAGATGGGGATTCACCAGGTTGACCAGGCTGGCCTCGAACTCCTGACCTCAAGTGATCCACTGGCCTCGGCCTCGAAAAGTGCTGGGATTACAGGTGTGAGCCACTGCACCTAACCTCCTAGCTTAATTTTTAGAGCACTTTTCAGTTACTGAACTATTATTTATTGTTTATCTCTCCAGTGAGTGTCAGGAGAGCAGGCCCTTGTCCGTCTGTTGCCACATCCACTGGGCCTAGACTGGGTCTGGAGCAGGTTGGCACTCAATATTCTTGAACACTGGGGAAAAAACACAAGAAATGGATCGTTCCTTGGCGCTATGCTTGCTTCTGAGTATCCATGTTGCTTTTTGTGTGAATCTCTGAGGGTTTTTTTTTTGTTTGTTTTTGTTTTTTTGAGATGGAGTTTCGCTCTTGTTGCCCAGGCTGGAGTGCAGTGGTGCGATCTTGGCTCACTGCAACCTCTGCCTCCTGAGTTCAAGTGATTCTCCTGCCTCAGCCTCCCAAGTAGCTAGGATTACAGGAATGTGCCACTACGCCTGGCTAGTTTTGTATTTTTAGTAGAGACGGGGTTTCAATATGTTGGTCAGGCTGGCCTTGAACTCCCAACCTCAGGTGATCCACCTGCCTTGGCCTCCCAAAGTGCTGGGATCACAGGCATGAGCCACCACACCGGGCCATCTCTGAGTCTTTCTCCAGCTTCCCTCTCCCCCTCTGTCTCTATCTCTGTGGTTGTGTTTTTTTAATCTCTGGGGCTTCTCTGATTTGTGTGCCTGTCAGTCTCTCTCCTCCTTTTCTCTCTTTTCTGTATCACCTTCCTGTCTTTTACTTTTTCTGTGGGACTCCACTAGTTTTGGTCTCTGCTGCCCTCCCCCTCCTCCCCTGCACTCCCTCCTCCCCATCTCGCTCTTCCTACTGCCCACCTTCCACCTCTCTCTCTCATTCTGTTTGGCCTTCAGACTCTAGAATCCACTCTCCCCTAACCAGTCCTCTTCCAGCAAAGATTTACGCTATCTCTCTCTCTTTCTCTCTCTTTTTTCAGACAAGAGTCTCGCTCTTTTGCCCAGGCTACAGTGAAGTGATGCCATCACAGGTCACTGCAGACTCACCCTCCCAGGCCCAAGCGTCCTTAGCTGGGACATCACAGGTCACTGCAGACTCACCCTCCCAGGCCCAAGCGTCCTTAGCTGGGACATCACAGGTCACTGCAGACTCACCCTCCCAGGCCCAAGCATCCTTAGCTGGGACTACGGGCATACGCCACCACACCCAGCTAATTTTTGTATTTTTGGTAGAGACAAGATTTCAACATGTTGGCTGGTCTGGAACTCCTGGGCTTAAGCAATCCACCTGCCTCAGCCTCCCAAAGTGCTGGGATTAGCAGCCACCCCGCCCCGTGATGATTCGTCTCTTTCAACGCCGCCTCCCACATCCCTCGCCTCTCCAGGTATCCTCTCTCAGTGCTTCTCTATCTCAATGATTGGTATTCCTTTTCCTGTGTTTCCCAGCATCTCTTCCCCAAACTGCCTTGGCGGAATTCTTCCTAGAGACCTTGACCTTCAGTCTCTCTCTTCCTGGTCCTTCCACACAGGCCCCGGAGAGAAATTCTGAACACTCAGCTCTGACCTGAACCCCCCACAGCCCCATATGCTCAAGATAAAGGCCGGCACAGCCCCTGGCACCCTGGCACCATCGCTGCCACCGCCCTCCTCATGCTGCGTCTGTGGCTGTTTTCCCACCAGACTGGGAGCCCCTCGAGAGCAGGGCAAGATGAAAATCACCTCTACAATCCCAGGACTGCCCAGCACAAGGCCTGGCACAGGAAATGTGTGCTGAGCAAACATGGAAGGGAAACCTACTGAGCACTGTCCCCTCTGCTTTGTCAGTGACCTTGAAACCCATCCCCTCCTCTCCACCCCAGCTCGACTGTCATCCCTCTCGCACCATCCTTAGAATCAAGCCTCAATCCCTCCACCTGGAACTCAGGCACCTTTTTCTCTTGTCTTTCTGAAACAGGGTCTCATTCTGCTGCTCAGGCTGGAGTGCAGTGCCACAATCCTAGCTCACTGCAGCCTTGAACTCTTGGGTTCAAGTGATCCTCCTGCCTCAGGCTCCTGAGCGGCAGTGACCACGGCTGTGCTCCACTACGCCCGGCTAATTTTTTGATGTTTTGTGGAGACAGAGTTTCGCCATGATATCCAGGCTGGTCTCAAACTCCTGGGCTCCAGCTTCAGCCTCCTGAAGTGCTGGGATTACAGGCATGAGCCACTGTGCCTGGCCACACTGGCACCTTTAGACTCTGGCTTGTGGCTACTTTCCCAGTCTCATCTTCCAGCCCCACCTTGTACATGAGCATCCCAGAACTATAAGCACTGACCCCAGTACGTCATGTTCATTCTCTTTCCCAGGTTTTCACCCAAGTTGTTCTTTGGTCCCACAAGTCTTTCTTATGCCTTTCATCACCCGGAAGACACTCACTCATCTCTTCAAGACCCAGGATGGCCATCCTATTCTCCAGGAAGCCTCTCCCGAGTGCCGCCCACTCCTGGCAGTTGACCACTCTGTCCACCATGTGCCATGGTACCCATTGTGGTCCCTGTTCAGCATTGATTGCCCTGCCTGGATGGCAGCGTTTGATGCTTAAGAGCAGGGCTAGGGTCTGTTTCACCCCTGCTCTGGGGATCTGGATCCTCACGCACTTCCTGGTACCTTAGCAGATACTCGAAAATGGCAATGGGCGAGTGGCTGAATGAATGAATGAATGACACGAGTCCCTATGCCTCAGGGTTTCTTCTGCACAACAGACACCATCCCTGTGCTTCAATGTGTGTGTAATGATGTGCTTCCTCCCATTAAAGCGTGAGCTCCAAGGGCCAGTGCCTGGGTTTGATGCTGTATTTCAGCACATCTCTGCCTCTTACTCTTGCCTCCAATTTCCTGTCTTCTTTTTGTACGCCATTCACATTAGGCTCCTGCTTAAACCCATTTCACAGCCCTCACTGCCCCTAAAATAAAATCTAGACTCCTGACCGACGAGCCCCTGTATAATCTGGCCCTGTCTGCGCCCCCAGCCTCATCTTATTCCACAATCACCTGGCTCATAGGCTTCAGCCCTGGCTGCAAGCTCCTTCCTGCCTCAGGGCCTTTGGACCTGCTGCTCTGCCTGCCACACTCCACTCCGGCTCTGCCCTGCCGGCTTCTTCTCATCCTTTCAGTGTCCACTGAAATCTCTGCCTCTCAATGGGGTTAGGCTGCCCTGATGGAGCATTTTGTAGCATCTCGTTTCTCCTATGGCCTAACTGTAATTTGTTGTGTATGTACATGACCGATTAATGCGTCTCATGCACAAGATGTTATTCTATGAGGATGTCGGGGCCCCTGGCTGCTTTCCTGCCTCCTGCAGGCTGAGCAGGGAGCACAATGCCTAGCTCTTTAACGCGCACAAATTCACCGCCGGTAATGAATGAATGAAGAGGCCCTTTCTGTGCATCGTTCGTGTCCCCTGCTCCAAGGTCGCCTTATGTTCCAGTGCCTAGTACACAGTAGGCGCTTAATAAGCCCTTGTGGAATAATGAATGAAAAAAATGAATGAATGCCCGCGTCCAACCCTTCTCTCTGCTTTTCCGCGTCCATTCGCTGTGTCTCTTTATACAGGGCATATATATAGTTTGTGGATGTAACTATGTATTCGTGTGTTATGGGCCCCTCTCCAGGAGTTGGGCTGGGCTGGGCTGGGAGTCCCTCCCTCCCCTCCCCCCGCCCCGCCCCCATGCACACAGCAAAACATGAAAAAGAAAACATCTCGAAACTGCAAAAAACACCATGGCCCTCCCCCCCTTCCCATAGATCCCACAGAAAAATAAAACACGACGCTCCCTCACGGCGGCCCCCTCCCTCCCCTGCCCCCTCGCTCGGGGTTCCTGCTGCGGAGGAGGAGGGGGGCGGGAAGGGGGGACGGGGGCGGGCCCAGCAGTCTCCAGCGCGCTCACGGGGGACAGCGGGGGCGCCCCCGACCCCGGCAGCCTCGATGCACGCGCGCCCGCGCACGCGCCCCGGACACGCCCCTCGGCTCCCCCGCCGCGCCCCTACACGGGCGTGGTTTTCCTGTTGAGCGTGTTGGTGTTGGAGGCGGCGGCCTCCTTGGCCAGGGTCCCGGGGGCGGGCGCGGCGGGCGCGGGGGGCGCGGGGGGCGCGGGCGCGGCGGGCGGCCCAGTGACCGTGACCGTGACGCCGCCGCCCGTCTCCTTGGGGAAGGCGTTGTGCAGCGTGAGGAAGCCGGACGCCCCCCCGCGGTCCCGCTCGGCGCCCGCCCCGCCGCTGCCGCCGCCGCCCCCGCCGCCCCCCGCCGCGCCGCCGCCGCCGAAC